TCGTGCCCAAATGCATGTATGAGGTGTGGGACAGCCACAACCGGTAACCAGCATCACCTGCTGCTGCTGTTCTTGCTGCAGGCGTTGCTCCCGTATCTGCTGCCCACTAGGCTGTCTCCTCATCTCACAAGAAGTCCGGCGCAGCTCGTGAAGAGTTTGTGGGCTGCTGCTGCGGTTGCTCAGCGGCAGCAGCAGCAGCAGCAGCTGCTGCTGCAGCAGCTGCAGGCGGGGTCGGTGGCCCTGTATGGTCGCCTTCCCTCTTGTACCGTTCCTCATCTGCCTTCTGCGCTGCCCTGCACAGCAGCAGCCACAACACAGCAACCTACAATTAACAGGCAGCTGCAGTAAAGGGTGCAGCAGCAGCAGTGCTGAAGGTAGCAATGAGAGAGCTACGGTGCACGGCATGCAAAAGTATTTTAGGGTTTCCTGTTTCAGGTTCAGGTTCGTGATAAAGGTTTAGGGTTCAGTGTTTGCATCCAGACTTGATAAGGGCATCTTCCATGCGTCTGAGGGGATCGACTTTGTCGTCTTTGTGCTGCGTCTTGAATCGCTCTGTCTCCTGCTGAATTCCTTTGCCCAACTTCACGAGCGCCTCTGCCCGCAGGCGCCTCACCTCAACCGAGACGCTCATGTCTTTAAGGACCTGTTAAGTGGCAGCACCAGAAAAAGGGAAACCAGCAACAATTACAGCGAAGATAGCAGCAGCAACAGGAGCAACAGCACCACTAAGCTGCCAAACGGGAGGGAAACGATAGATGAAATATGTGTCGCAACATTCCAGCACCCACAGCCTCCAAAGCGGGAGAGCGATACAAATCTAAAAAAAATTCGATGAATCCGAGGAACGCACGATGCAAACAAATGCATGGCAACAAGGGCAGTGCCGCTACCTTGCATCCTCTGAACCTCACGCCCCTTCAACCACTCCGGCATGTTTTCTGTGCATTTTCTGTTTCAGTGCAACTAAACATAAACATCGATCCTATGAAATACAGCTTGGGGGGGAATGAATTCTGCTGCCTCACCTTCTTGGAGGCTGCGCGGACAGTCGTCTCTATGTCCATGAGGCAAATACTCAACATCGTCTCCAGGATCAGAGGCAGCGTCTCCTCAAATTGCTTTATCTGAACACATAAACACAGAAAACTCGATTCTAAATGCTACGCATGCCGGCTTGCGTGAACTCTGCCTATCGCTCAGGTCCTAACCTGCCGTACTGCTGCTTATGCTACTCCTGCTTGTGCTGGAGTTGCTGTTGCTGTCATTGCTGCTTCTGTTGTTGCTGTCTACGCTTTTGCGTTTGTTCAACATGAGCGAGTAAATGCCAAGTAAAACACGAGAAACCAAACACTTCAAACGAGAAGGACCGCAGGGGAAACGTCGAAAGAAATACGAGAAAAACAAAGTTCAACTATGAGGAAACGAGCCATAAGGGCACACACGCATACAGAGAAAACAAATGCAGGAAGAAGCAGAAAAGAAGAAGGCGTGAGGTGTCAGAGTAGAGGTTGTGTTATTGGATTGCAGTGATATAAGACAACAAACGCCTTGCAGTTGAGTGTTTGTTTGCATTACATCTTCAGCGGTTGGTCCTGCTTCAGGAATTGTTTCGCCTTCTTTTGCGTTTTTCCTGGCCTTTTCTTGTTTCTTCTGTCGCC